AGGCAGCCTGCTCGCGCCAGATTGTGGGCCGCGACGAAGCCAGCGCCGCTCTCCAATCGCTGTTGCACTACCACCATGGCGAGACTGCCCCAGGTGCTGTTGACATCACCGATGGCTCAGCATTTGACTGGCTTCGATGGGTGGCACATATCGAAGGTGCGCGCGACGTCATCCGCAATGGCGTCCACAGGGTCTACGCTGTCCGCTGGAATCCGCACTGGGCCCCAGAGGCCGTCTTCTGCTACGGCAACAACACCTACAGCACACTGGTGCCCCGCAAATCGCGCTACACAGGCTCGTGGAGCCACGCGCGAATTGTGACTCACCGGAACGCAAATTGGGTGACCGAACCGTTGCTATCTGCGGCCCCTGTGGCAGCTACGCCGTGGCTGGTGTTGCGGGATCAAATAACCTGGGAGTGATCTCTGGCAAACGAGATGTGGTGCTTCTCAGCCTGCTCTCATGTGACACGCAATGCCGTGCCCTGCAATCGCGTGGTGTTTCTCAGCCTGCACTCGCAGGTCCTTCGGAGGTCAATTGTTATGAGTTCGGCACGGTCTCGGTCAAGTACAGCGTGCGGTGGGGATCCCGAGATGGGGCCTGGCTCAAGGTGCTCAAGACGTACTGGAGTGTCCCAGAGCCGGAGTGCCAGCTGATCCTCGGGAGTTGGAACGGCATTTTCAGGCCGTGGCCGGACACGTTCTGGATCAGGACGGGGGGGTCCGAGCCCGAGATGGAGTGCTAGCGCTCTGCAGTACAAGTGCTTTTCAGCATGCGACATCCCGCGGTGCTTCTCAGCCTGCAGGGTTCGCAGCGTGCGGTTTGCAATGCATTCCTTTTCAGTATGCGAGTTCCTGCGGTGTTTCTCAGGTTGCAGGGCTCCGAGGCTCTTCCCTTCGATGCCAATGTTTTCAGACACCGTAGCTCCGTTATGTAAACATCTTCCAAGAGCCGCTCGCAACTTTTTGCAGCTGGCGGTCTGCAGACGTAGTCTGTCTCAGCATGCGAGCTCCCGCACGCTTCGCCGGCTTTTGCTGCGCGGACAATTTTCTCACACACGTCAGCGCCGCTTGTAGGCGTCAGAAAAACATGTAGACATTCACGAAGGGCTCAGTCTGTATATCGTCACATCATTACATACGCAGTCGTCGAACACATCGGTGTACATTCAGCGCTCTGTCCTTCTAGCTGGGTCGCTTCGTGCTGAGGCTGAGGCTGATGCAGGCTGAGGCTGAGGCAGGCTGAGGCTGAGGCCGAGGCCGACGGCAGACTGAGGCTGAGGCTGAAGCAGGCTGAGGCTGAGGCAGATGCAGGCTGAGGCTGAGGCTGAGGCTGAGGCAGGCTGATGCTGAGGCAGGCTGAGGCTGAGGCTGAGGCTGATGCAGGCTGAGGCTGAGGCAGGCTGAGGCTGAGGCCGAGGCCGAAGGCAGACTGATGCTGAGGCTAAAGCAGGCTGAGGCTGAGGCTGAGGCAGGCTGAGGCTGAGGCTGGCGGAGGCTGAGGCTGAGGCAGGCTGAGGCTGAGGCTGTGACTGCGACTGCCGTTGCCACTGCGACTGTCCTCGCGAATGCGACAACGACTGCAAGAACAGCAGAATTCTACAACTGGATTCTCATCCGAATCTTAAGGGGAATGCTTCCAGATATGCTCCTACACATGGCTGTTAGGTTGCTTTGCCGGGATAATTTTTTGT